TATCCACTCTCATGCTCCTTGGCAGCACAAAATGTCAACTTCATTTTCTTGGAGTCACTGAACAGATGACAGGTCTGTGGCTCACATTTAAGGGCAGCAGTGCAAAGTTGTGCAGTGTGCAGCATTGCAGTCTTGTTGCTGCCAGCAGAAAAGGAACTATCGGGTTAGAAAAAATAGCTCACATACCTTGATTTTTACATTCCGTATCTTCTTAAAAGAAGTTAGAACCACACTGTGTGTGTTATAGATTAAATATTACGTTCTGAGAAATTAGTATGAGGATACTAGTAAACATTTTGAATTTGCCAGTAGCAAATTAAGTAGTGGAGTAGAGTATGGTCAGATTCTTTTCAGCTTTTAGCTTGGCCTTGTTCCTGGCCATGTTTATTAAAGTGTAAAATAGGGAGATTATGCTCACTGACGTTCTGTAGGAATTCGAAATATACATACTGTATCCGTAGAATTCCATGGAAATTGGTAAATTTTACCTGAGGAGGAAGAATGAAATTAAGCAAAGGTAGTGTGGTTGATCTGAAATTTCTTCTGCTGTATTAGTTCCCAGGTGGGAATAGAAGTTTTAGATGATATAGTCAGTAATAAATGAGTCTGCAGAATTAATAATCGAAGACAGAGAAATTAAATTAAAGAAAAAACAAAGGCTTTGTCTTTTGTCTTAATCACATTTCCTAAGTATTTTGGGGAAAGCAGTAGCACCGTTATTTACATAAAATAAAATAAAATAAAATAAAATTCCACTCCTGTTTCCTGGACATAAGTAGACCTGAAAGCTTTGCTAGTACTTGTGGGAAAGGGCTTTCCTTTGGTTTCAACTCATCCATATAAGATAATTTTAAGAATACATTGAAATACTTAAGCGATGTGGGAAGGACATTTCAGGGCTTATTTAGTCAAACCCTAAGAGGCAAACTGAGACTTTTGGTCACAGTTCTCACTGAATTTCCTCTTCTTCCTGTTTTTAAAAATGTATTTTAACTAAAAATACGACTATTTGAAAACTACCTCTAGAATAGTAAAAGATACCTTCAAGTCCCAGAGTGCAGAAAAATGCAATGCACCTGCCAAACTTTAATTACTGGTTCAAGAAACTTACAGATGGTTTCATGAAATAAGTTGTTGATGAGTTCCACAAGCTGAGTGATGCAAACCAATGAATTTACAAATCTCTGCCTGTCAAACAGCTGCCAAAAGATTCCTGAGATGTCTTTATGATTTATTGATTAAAATCACAAAATGTCAAGAAATGTGAATCTTAGAATGCCGACATTGCTATTTTTTACTTTTTTTTGTTTGTTTGTACTGCATATGTCTCTATCGATATATATAGGCACACAATGGTTTTATGTTGCTTCCTGTTGCTCTCAAAATGTTACTTAGACTTTTTGTGGTTTTAGTACTGAAACTAATTTTTTGTTCAACAGATTATTTTAATGAAATTGAAATATCCAGCAAAGTAGAGCTGAACAGTATAGGCTCTACCACTCATTTTATCAAATTATACAATATGATGGGTTTTATTTCCATGATTTGCCATTATTCTTACAGGATTTCCGTTGACTAAAGATCTTTCAGGACTGAGAACTCAAAATTCTCAAGCTACAATTTAATAAGAGTAGTTTGTTGGGGGCTATTAAAATATTATTATAGCAGTGATTCAAGCAGAAGCCTAGAAGAATTAGTATAACTTTAAATTTTTTACATGTAATGGCTGATTTTCTGATGTACATGCCTTTGCCTTTTTTGGTATTTATTTTTAAATGAAGTGCTGTGGACATGAAGGGTGGGTGCATCTGCTTTTCTGAGGTTTGGCAGGTAAAAAAAAAAGTTTTAATAGTTTTTATTTCTCCTCAGATTTGTAAAAAATTCCCAAACTCTCAATGAATTATGTTAATGTAAGAAAAAGAAATTAAATACAAAATCAAAATGTCTAGTCAGGACCTCTAGGAAGAATACATGCTTTGAGTTAGGATAGCTCAGCTTCTACTGAAATGCTAAAACTTTGGGGAAAAGTGTGTTTGGTGTTTTTTTTGTGCTGGGAGCAACTGTCCAGAAGTCTTAATTGAAAACACCCTCCCACACTATTGGAAGTGTGTACCAGCCAGCCTGTATTGGAGCATTGCAGTTACCTGTGCACTTTCTGTGTAAAACCACCAACAGCAGCAAAATGGATTTACAGATTGGCTGGTATTCCTTTACACTTGGTGTCAGAGTTGTGTCTGGGGCCATCTTTCAGAGGAGGGTGGGAGAGGCTGCCATAGCATGAGGAAGAGGAGGTACTGGAAATGCAGGAGAGCTAGTCTCACAAGAAGGCAAATTTACAATTTAATAGGGAAATCTGTTTGAATTGTATAGTGATCACAGCTGTCAACATCTCCGAGCGAGAAGGAGAGAAATCACTTTCGAGTAAGCTGGTTATTGAGCCATTATTTACTGCTTTTTGATCAGCATTACCCAGCTGAACTTTGCCCAGCAGCAGCTTGGCTGCCAGCATGGGTTTTGGCAGTGATGGCTGTGTGCTGCCGGTGCGACAGGCTGCTCCTACCATGCTCTACGACTTGCAGATAATCCTAAATAAAGCCCATTGTGCAGATGAAACAGTGATCTAGTCTCAAGTTTGGCAAAGACTTATCTAACCTCAGTAAAACTCAGGCAGGAGAAACAGGACTGAGGAAACAGGTGTGTTGGCCATATCTGCATTCATGAGTGGATCTGATTCATTAGATACCAAACTGCACCAGCTTTCTGTCAACACTACATTGGTCTTGTCTGATTGAGTCTCAGCCATATAGTCCTTCTGCCAAATTTTTGTGGACAGAATCAGATGTGGTAGTTTGTAAAGCTGAGCATTTCTCATCAGCATCCTGAAGGCAAGCTTTTTTTTGTGTCCCTGCAGTGATGACCCAGCAGCTTCCTTGGCTGCAAATGAAGGGAGGATCAAATAGATCTTGGAAGAACTCGTAACGATTTTGATGACAGAAAGTTGTCTATATTAAGAATGCTGCAGTCCTGGGGAAATGAATATGCTGAAGCTACTTTAGTTGTATTTGGAGTTTTCTTATGCTTTCCTTGCGATTGATGTAGCAAGAACTACTACAATAGTGCCTGTTAGGGTAGACAGCATAATAATCTCCAGAAATACACAGGTTGATTGGTAAACATGCACAACATAAATTTTATCCTTATGGACTCTTGAGAACATTAAAGGAAATACTGATATGCATATTCCCAAAGTGAAAGATTGGACACAGCAGTGATGATTAGCAGTGCTGTGGTGGCACATCTCTGATGTCTGCTCATGCTCTCCATTGTCAGAGATATCAGATACCCATGAAAATACCCCCTTAACTTCTGTGGCTGTACCAAGTTTGGTACATAACTTAAAATCCCTTCAAAAATCCTTCTCTTTTCCCCCCACCAAATTACTATTTTTGATAGACTCTCTGGGTAGGGGGCTGTAGCATTTTCAGCAGAAATGTGGAATATATTGAGCTGGCTTTTAAATATTACTGTTACATGTATGCAGCACCATACTGAAGTTCAGTTTTCTTTGGGAAATACTGTGTCTGTACTTTGAGAAGGAATTTTACATAGCAGACATAATTATTTTCATGTAAATAGACTGGTGATGCTAGTTTGTGGGGTACAGAAGGAGGATTCATAAATAAAAGTAGATTTTTATCTGCATTTCAGTGATAATTATATTTAACACCCAAGAGGAATAATAGTATAATTGAGCCTCATCTCTTGCATGTCAAAGGCTGCACTGTTTTCCCCAGTTCTCCCTGTGTAGAGCCAGATCTTTTGTGTTCAGCTGCAGTGTGTTTTATGGAAAGACATCTGAAAATTGGAGACAGAAAGGATTTTGAGTGGTTGACAATATAGGTAGGAATCAAACTTTGAAACTGTGTATGTAGTGTATCTGCTGTGTATAACAAGGCAAAAAATGACAGTATTGCTCATGAGAAGGCAAAGGATGCACACATTGAAGTGTTGGCAGTGGTACTAGAGCAATTAGTTCAGCAATTAACCTTAACCAGCGGTACCTGTACTGCTTCTGAGGTATCTGTAATAATACTTTGATACACAGTGCCAGTCATCATGAGCCTAGTCATCTTTGTTCGCTCTTTCTGGGTTAAAGATCTTGACATTCACATTTTTGACATGGTGTCCTAAATGTCTTGTCTGGACGTTCATTTTCTGTGAACCTTTTAAAGGAGTACCAAGGCTTGGTATTTCATATCTGCTAAATCTCTTGATGTAGTTCTTGGCAAATCCAAAGATGAATACATTTTTCCCTGTGAATCATATTACTCCATCAGTAGCAGAACTGGATTAATGTTGAATGTTTAACATTTTCTGACCTGCTAGGCTTGATACCACACTGAGAGGTACAGTGTTATGAGAGATGTAGAAATAAGCATGTAAAACATTTTCTGGCACAGTGTTCTTTGAGAAACTGTGTCACAGACTTCTTCACATTGACTTGCTGATGCCTTTTATGAGTCATATGCATTTCTGCTTCTGCTGTTCATGTCTGCAACCATATATATCTATATATACATTGTCTTTTTAGGGCAGCATTATGAGAATCAGCAGTGGTCTAATGCAGACGATCTCTAGAAAATATTACAAATTTTCCTAGGCTTTTATTGCTTGCCTGGGTTTTGTTTTTTTCTTCACTCAGTGACATCTTGACAGGCTGAGCCAGAATCCCTTTCTTATCCTGCTGGTATAGAAAGATAAAACAGATTGATGTGTTACAGTCCTCTGATTGTGCTGCTCTGCCTGGGATTCCTTGGATATGCTTTAACCTCTATTTTGTTTTGTGAGATAGGGGTTAGAGAGCTGATTTCAAGGATGACATTTTTGAGCTAATGAGAATGCTGATGGTTTGGAATACATTCAGTAAATGACAAATCTGGTAAAAGAGCGTGACTGCCATGTTCTCAGTGTTTAGTGTAGTTCCCTGTGTTTAATTGCAGACCTCAAAAGAGGACCTTCTACAAGCTGATTTTGAAGGAGCTTTAAAATTCTTCAGGGTTCAGTTGCCCAAGAGGTACAGAGCTGAAGAGAACGCCAGAAGACTGATGGAACAAGCCTGCAACATTAAGGTAAGGGTGGTCTTCATTTCTTCTCCGTCACCTGGATTTTTTACAGGAAAAGTAATGTGCAATGTTAAGAATGGCAGTAACATGTGGAAAGTAAAGTAATGAAATCGTTAGTTTATTTTTATATGTGTTTGTATATTTATAGACACATGCATGCACACACATTTATATTTAAGGAGAGTAAAGCTCTGAGGTTTTCCCTCTGTCTGCTTTGGTACTAGCTAAAACTTCGAAATAGAAAACTGATGCATGATCGAACTGAATTATCAGAACTTGCTAATTCATTAGCTGATGATTATATTGGGGTAGAAACTTAGTTTTGTTTGGATATCAAGCTTACCAAGACAGAATAACTTATGTTCTACCTGATCCAAGATGGTGGTACTTTGAATATTTGAACCACAAGTAATGGGTATGATGAGGATGAGGGACAGTGGCTATAAAGTTCTTACTATGTCTCTCGAGTTCCTCTTAATTGGTGACAATAAACTGTCTTTTAGACAATTTTTTTTCTGCTCTCTAGGAGTCAGACACTTCTTACAGTGTGGTCTTTTTCCCTCAGAAGCTTGGTGGCTTCAGCCTGTCATTGCTGTCCTTTGTCTCTGTTTCCTCATTGCGGGTGGTTCTGTGGCTTCCAGCCTGGCTTCCTGTTGGCAGAGGTGACATGCTGTAGCTTTGGTGCTGGTCTCTGACTGCCTGGTCATCTCTAGTATGGTCCCACCAGAATACTGGCTTTCTAGTCTAGGTGTAGCAAGACATTTCTCATTGTATGTCAGTTTCATTGCTGTCACTTATGTTCTTGCTTATCAATACATGCCATTCTTATAACCTGTTCTCTGTAATATTTCTTCTGGTTCTTTTGTGTGCAGACACTTGCATTCATACTTACTTCAGACTATCTTGTTATTTGTGTTAAGCATCCCTACTGAGTGATTATGTGATGCCTTGACTCTGTTAACTTGATGTCCCACATTAAATTAAAACACACAGGGGTTGAACTGAATTCACAGTTTTTATTTATTTGGATCAACTTTTCTCAGTTTTGCCAACTAGAAAGTCCTTAGAGAGCCAAATCTGAATCACAGGAATGTAACTTCTGACTGGAAATGGCATGTTAAACATGAGAGAAAATCACCTCATAATGAAGGTGATCAGAAGTCATCAGCATGGCTTTATGAAGGATAAATAATGCTTAACCAAGTTAATAGTCTTACGGGATGACTGTCTTGGTGCATGAGAGGAGAGCTGAGAATGTTGTTTATTGCAAGTATAAACAGTGTCTCCCATAATATCATTGTAGACAAACTGATGATTATGGACTAAATAAGTAAACAGTGAGGGGAACTGAAACCTGGCTAAATTACTTCATTCAAATGGTCGTGATCAGGAACAGGATGTTCATCTGGAGGTCTGTCATTAGTGTTGTACCTCAGAGCTGATACTATGACCAGTACTGCTTAGACTCTTCATAAATGACCTCAGTGATGGAGCAGAGAGCACCCTCAGCAAGTATGCAGATGACACAAAGGTGGGAGGAGTGGCTGATGGACTGGATGGGTGTGCTGCCACCCAGAGGGACCTTGACAGACTGGAGAAACAGGCCAGCAGGAATCTTGTGAAGTTCAAGAAAGGGAAGTGCAAGGTCCTGTGCCTGGGAGGAGCAGCTACACCAGTACCTGCTGGGGGCCAGCTGGCTGGAAAGCAGCTTGGCAGTAAAGGAACCAGAGGTTCTGGTGGACTTTCTTCTCTACTCAGCCTGGTGAGATGCATCTGGAGTACTGTGTCCAGACCTGATCTCCCCAGGGCGAGACACAGCCACAACGGTGAGCATCCACTGAAGGGCCCTGAAGATTATTAAGGGATGGGAGCAACTCTCCTGTGAGGAAAGGCTGAAGGAGCTATGGCCATTCAGCCTGGAGAAGAGAAGGCTCAAAGGGATATAGTCACTGTTTATAAATACTTGGTGGGAGGAACTAAAGAATAAGGATCTAGGCTTTTCTCAGTGGTATCCAGTGAAGAGGCAAGAGGCAGTGGATACAGAAAAAAAATTAAAAATATTTATTTAAAAGCTATTTATGTATTTATAACTTCAGGGTGATCAGACACAGGAACACTTTGCCCAGGGAGCTTGTGGAGTCTCCATCTGTGGAGATAATCAAAACACAACTGGCCCTGAACAATCTGTTGAACTTAGCTGTGCTTTGAGGGTGAAGTTTAGACAAGATATTCTCCAGAGGTCACTTCCAACCTCAAGTATTCCATGATTCTATGATTAGGCATATAATCATGGTGCTTATTTACAAACAGGAGCTAATAACTGCAGGAGTTGACATGCTCAAATAGGAAATTAAAGTCTTGATAATCACCACTAGAAGAGGTCCCAGGGAATGCAGAGGTTTAATATGAAGAGTAGTTGTCTGTCTTGTTTAATGTAACAAAACTTGTTTTGTTAAAAAAAAAAAAAAACAAGACCCTGAAACATTGAATTATTTTTTTTCCCTGAATTGAGGCACTGTGTGACTTTCAACTGCTTCTTGTCTGTATTGATATTTGTAGACTAAACACCAGATGTTTTTAGAGAAAGTATTGCCTACTATGTGCCAGAGAGTATTTTCTTTAGGTGTTTAAGCTAATTGCTGAGGCATAAAACCATGAAAATAGAATCATGGTGTGGCCACGTTTCATAGTCTGGCTTTATCTTTTCCAGTGTTTCTTTTTATTTCTCCCCATATTGCCACAAAACAAAACAGGCATTTCACATGTAATAAAAATCCACCTCTACTTGCCCCCCCCTTAAGCTCTAGCCAACATTGTTCCAGGGAAGTCATGTGAAAAAATACTTGGTGTTTCTTCTCCTTAATTTCACAACTTTAAAGTTTAACTCATGAGTTCAGGACCTACCCCTTGGATTTTGAAGGTGATGCGTTGGAAATAGTTTTATCCCATTTTTAAAACAAAAAGAATTAGCATCTATCTCTCCCTCAAGAAATCTCTGCAAATACAGAGGAAAAAGCTCCTATTGAAAATTGTGTATAAATTACAGTAGAGAATGTCTCATTCAATTAAGGATTATCCATGGTGATTACCCATAGTCTGAATTTCATTCATTTAACAGGAAAGAAATCACTGTGAACAAAGTCAGTGGTGATTTCCAGCAGGTGATTGTTGGGTAGTATTCCATGTTTTAGGAATGTTTTGAGCTAATTCATACTAATAACTAATTCATACAATACAATATGGCCTATGAAACTTCCCTTTGATTTTGTACTTTGCATGTTATATGCATATGCGCAGAATTAGGGTCCTGTTATTACCTGGCTATATTTGGCATAGTAGCCAACAGCTGCAGAATAGAAGATGCATTCACATGGAAGAAACCGAATGTGTGAAGGCATCTGCTGAGACTCTTAAGGTAGACAGAGCCCAATATTGTACACATTTCTCAGCTCCAGAAAGTCAGAGGAAAAAGACATAAATTCTCCAAGTATGGTGTCAGATGCTGATTTAAGGGTTAGTGAAATTTAATAAAAGATGAAAAATTAGAGTTAATGAATGGGGGATTGGCCTCCTTTGTTTCCTGTTAGTTTTCTAATCTCTAGCAGCCGTGCCTTTCATTTTCCACTGGCCTTTAGAGAGGGACTGGCATATTCTTCCTGTGTGGGTTCTCTCTTTGTAAGGTATATCAGAGTTTTTTTCTGTCTCTGGAAGCTCAATTTGATAAACGAATGAAGAAAGAGCTTGTTCTAGATTGATGAAGGTTAAGCTTAATGGTGCTATCCTGTTAAAACCACTAACACGTTCTGCATACTCACTAAATCTGCCTCAACTGCCTTTTGCATCTTGTAGAGATCTGTGTATGACCTAAAGAAATTGTAATGTCCTTTGATTTTAGTATAGGAAGCCTATCATCTCTATTCTTACACCTGACTTCAGTCAGGTAGTAGAATGGGAGATAGTCAGTCTCATTGGGAGATTTTCTCCATATGAAAACTTCCTGGTTTGGCAGTTTTCAAGTGAATTCTGGAAATTCTGCCCATTTCTCTGTGACTGTCCAGTGATATTTGGAAATGCAACAGAGTTAACATTCAAAATGAGTTACACTGCAGATCCGGAAATGCCACAAAGTTGGGTGTAGCAGACAAGTGGGTGGAGAGATCCTGGGAACTTAACTGTGGGGTTTCACGCCTTGTGCCTGGTGAAGGTGAAGGGAACACATGGGATGGACTAGACAGAACTGAGTAAAGGAACCTGCAGGGGAGATTTCTCTGATGATGGGGCAGCATCTGTAATAATACCTTCTTTTACATGTCTCAGGGATTACAGCGACTCCTTGTCTCATCTTTTGTCATCATCAGTGGCAGGAAAGACCTGATATATTGAAGTGCTTCTAATAAAAGCTTCCTAGCCATGTAAATCTCTCTCCAGCAGATCCAGCAGCGTTACAAGGTTACTGCTCTCAGGACCTTAGGTCAGAGGAGCAAATAGCCATGAGAAAAAATATGTCCTTTTCAATGCGAAGCAAACACACACATTTTGTCACCTGTCACTGTACTGACAAGGTTATTGATCTCACCTGGGTGCATCCACAGCTGTGGCTTGCACCAGAACCTTTGTAGGGCTCATTAAAATAGCTCTACTAGTGGAGCCAGAAAGAAAAGACCGTAGCCTTTCTTTCTGAAGGGGCTGCGCTAAGCTTTTCTCATTTCAAAATTGTTCTTTGTACAATTTTAAAACAGATTTATTTTAATAATGTTGGTGTTCAGGTGTTTTGAATATGAAATTTGAAGCTGACACTTTATTGATGTGGGTGAATTACTTTATTCACACCTATTGCTGATTCATCTGGAAGTAATTTTTTGCAGGGATGGTTTAACAGGCAGTTAAATATATTGATTTATGTGAGTTTCAATAGAAAGTAATAAAAATAGCTCACTTGGTCTCTCTAGTGCATTCTCTTTCTTTCTGTTTATATGTATATATGTTTAGTTATCTAGATGTTTGGG